TGAAGTATCACAAGAATGGAAAAACGAGCACCACATATACTCACCATCAAACTGGTATTAACTGATCAACACTTTTGTGTGCATATAGTAGTAACATTCATCGGGTGTTGGGCAGGTGAAAGGGGGAGAAGGGGATGGGTATATTCACACCTAATGGGTGCGGTGTGCACCATCTGAGGGACGGACACTCTTGAAGCTCTGACTTGGGCAAGGCAAAGGCAATATATGTAACCTAAACATTTATACCCCCATAATATACTGGAAAAAAAAAAGACTATGTTAGAGAGGTTCAAGGTTCCAAGCATATACATTCTTGCAAAATGTGTATATCAACTTTTGTAAGGTGAATCACGCAAAAGTCAGGAAGATGGGTGGCCTGCTGCTATTTAAAAGCTGTGAATACTTTCATAAAACAAAGTCTTGTTTAGTAAAAACAGTGACTTCCCTAATTTATTGTAAAAACCCAGATTTTCGTATGTCAGGTGGAAATGGAGCAAGATGTTCTTCTACTTATTCATCTAAATATCCTGTGGATTATGAGGTTTACTTTTGCAATGACCCAATTGTGATTTTGTTAATAATACTGCAAATGTTTATGTAATTCAACTAATGCTAATTTTTTGATAGAATGAAAATATGAAGGATGATGACCTCTCAATGGAACGAAATGAAAATGACTTAGCACAAATAAGTCTCAGCCAACACACTGCTCAGCCTCTCAAGCAGAAAAGAGAGACAGGGTAAAATTAAGTCATTTTATTGGTGACTCAAGGAAATGAATTAAAACACTGTGGGGAAAACTAAGTGTCTGATTAATATGTGGTTTACGTGTTAATGCAAAAATATTTGAAGTCGGGATGAAAGACTGTTAAAACAGGTCAGAAAACTAAATTACCCTAGACCTGTGTTTTTAATGAAAGTAACTGCTAAGAGAAATTTCTTTTTATGTTTATATATATAATTATTTTCCCTCCTCTGCATTTTTAAAGGGAAGCTATCATGAAACTCCCTTAAGTTAAATAAATGACTTCAATTTGTATGTGAGTTTTCTGAACCACTTTGAAATGAAAGTCATGATTAAATTTCTCCTGCCTGCTAAAGATACAACTATGCAATGGCGCTACAATTGCTGGGCTTGGATGACGGCTCCGAGACCACTGATAGGAATCCTGTCCTGATAAGAGGGGCCTACTTGTCCTTTCTGTATCTGCGCCACCTGCGAATCAGGGAACTGCAGGTATGTGGATGGCAGCAGAAATGCCTGGTTGTCTAGAAAGGGGGCTTTTCTGCTGTTCCCTTAGCAATGCGTTTTTATGCTTTTTCCCTTTGTTCTGATTTTTTTTTTCTTACATGAAATCAGCCTCTTTCTGGGCTGGTATGTTCCTTTCTCCACAGTAGGATTGATCTGCCACCCTTGAGGCTCTCAAGTTTTTCTCCGTACGGTGGGGCTAGGCAAAAGGCAGGGTCCTGATTCTGCTCTTTTTTTGTTTCAGCGCATCTGCTTAGGAGTTCTGAACTATTTCAGATCCATTGAGCGAACCCTGACAATCAACACTTCGGGCCTTACCTTGGTTTCAGGGAACCTGGTTCCCACCATGGAGGATAGTTCCTGGGTAAATATGGCAAAAGGAGGCCTGGGCACCTTGCATGGCCTGGGATCTGGCCACTATGTCCGTGGGTCACCTGCTGAGCACAAGGTGAGTCCTTCTGCTTTCTTCCTTGATTATTCTGTCTCTCAAGCCACCCTCTTCTTAGCACCTGGAATCAGTTAACATGATAAAGTAACAGGTGGAGGGTTTCTTAGGGGAAAATGGTCTTTAAAAACAATTATAGTAAAAGGGGAAATGGCTTTTTAACCACCACCACCACCCCAGCCCCCGCCCCAATGTCCGCTTGAGAGTGAGACGCAGGCAGAGAGTACCCTAAAAGCCACACTGGAGCCCGTGATAGGAGGGAGCTATTTCAGAGCATGAGGGGCCATTTCTGTTATCCTGGCCTGAGAGCCACATCCTTTCAGAGAAGCTCTTCTTAGACCCTCCTTGGCACTGCTAGAGGGACCTTTTTGTCACTTGCCTGTTTTCTAAGCCCCAGATGAGAAAAGTAGACTAACAAACAGCTGTAGAAAAGATTTGAAAGAGCTGAACAATAAAAAAAAAATTTTTTATCCCTCCACAAACCTGTTTGCTCTTTGGTGCTTTTGATGTCTGTGGAACATATTTTTCTATGAAGTCTATACATTTTTAACCCTGCCTAACAAAAGGCCAATAAGACAAAATCCATATTGACTTCCCTTCTTTGGGAAAAAAGTTGAGAATGCTTATATTTTATTGGACTATTTTAGATACTCCTGTAATATTTCAGTCTCTAGAAAGTTTATTCCTGAAGATAGAGTTTAATATGAATTTTATCTTCTTAAAAATACTAGATTGACAAATGTGAAACATAAAATCTATTTGGCTATCGTAATAAGCCACATTCTAAGCTAGTGTGACTCTTGATTTATGCCTGTCGTGCCTATAAAATCTTACCGTTAACTGTTGTTCACATGCACACTCTAGCGCAGTACTGTCCATTCTATCCAATGGAAATATAATGCAAGCCACATACATAATTTAAATTTTTCTAGTAGCCAGAAGTACAAAGAAACATGTGGTGTTCATTCTAATAATATAACCTGTTTAGCCCAATGTATGTAAGATACTATCATTTCCACATGTAATCATTATTAACAAATCATTGATGATATTGTACATTTTTTATACTAAGTTTTCAAAATCTGGTGTATGTTTTATATGGACAGCACATTTCAACTCAGACAAGCTGCATTTGAAGTGTTCAATAGCCACAGGTGTCTAGAGGCTACTGTACTAAACAGTGCAGCTCTAGATATTGGGAAATGTTTTCTTATTTTCCCAACCCAGTCACCTAGATTCCTACCTTCACACCCTTCCTCCTTTGGTTTCCTTTCCTAATAAGCACCTCCAACTCCTATCCCCTCACCACACAGACTTCCTCTCAGATCTTCCTTTACCCCACCGCCCCACTCCCTTGATCCTAGCTCCTTAAGCCTAGTTTGCCCCTCGGAGGAGATAGAGAGGAGGGTTAAGCCACTTTAAAAACAAACACACCTACAAAACAAATATATCTTGTTCTTACTAATGTTGATCCTACCACAGTGGCGGTATGTTATTATGCTAATAGACATTAAAAATTTTTTTTTTTTTGCCAACATGCCCTCTCTCGGTTTGTTTATTCTGGGGTGAGGTTGGGGAGACAAATACCATCCTGCCTCCTTGTAGGAGGTGCTTCTCAGTAGTAATGTAATTTTTCTTTCCTACGCCCTCATGAATGATAGGGATTATGGCACCCTTTAAATCTCCCAGCTGCTATTACTTTAGTGTACCATAAGAAGACCACTCAAGGAAGTGGCCTTCTGTCAGAGTCTTTAATAGGACCATGTGGTTTAGCTATGCCCCATGGGTATGGCCTTGTTAGCATTTGTGCCAGAATATCCAGGCCTGGTTGGTGTGATTCTTTCCCACGTAAGGGTGGGAGGCACAGGTGCTACTCTATCAGGTTGATCTCACCAAGGCCCAGGGTGAAGGCTGCTGGGAGTAAGACCACTGGGCTTACCAGACATCAGAGAAACTCCTAAGATGAAGATCCCTTTCCTGGTCCCTTTCCCTGGGCCCAGTGTGTTTGATCCCATGAGGAAAGTCTTGGGCTAGTATTAACAAATGGTCATTCAGCAACAATACCTAGCATGATTTCTAGTCAGAGAAGTCAAGTTTGATTCCAAAGTTTTGGCTTGAGCATTTGAAAGTTTGAAGTTGCTATCAACTGAGATATTGTTGGAGCAGATTTGTTGGGAAGATCAGTATTATCTCAGTTCAGAACATGGAAAATTTGAGACGCTTATGAGATGTTAAGGTGGCAAAAGGAAGTAGAGAGTTGGATATACCTCTTTCATATAGTATATAATAAATGTTTATTTGGTAAAAGAAAGGCTCTGCCCATAACAGAATGGTTGTGAGATTACAAAAAGACCATGTACATGAAAGTGTTTTGCAAAGTATATCACTCTGTTCAAATGCAGAACAATTAGCTAAGATAATAATATTATACTCTGCAAACTAAGAAGACAGGTAAACTAGAGGGTATCTTTGATTTTCTGTTTAAAAGATTGTAGCCAATGGATTGAGTCATTCACCCAACAAATTTGATGGGATTTTTAGGTTGAACTATTATTATCTGAAACTAATGTAAGATGATTTAGAAAAAGGTGAACTAGCCAGAGAAGTATTGTCTATGTTGCCAAAATTCCTAAAGTTCACATTAACAAGTGGTGGCAGAAGCTACTAGGGTGAAAGAAAGAATGATGGGCCACCAATTTTCCTATAGTTACTATATTTAGCAAATAGTTATCTTGGCATCAATTAATTTTCGGACTTGAAAACATAGTGAATCATTCCTAAGATCACATTATTTCATACCCAAGCAGGTAATTATTGCCCTTTCCTTTCTGCTACTCCTCCAAGCATAATATTGAAGGATCAACTCTCTAGACAACAAAACCTTTAGAGGGAGGGTTTTCCATGTGACTGTGAAAACAATTAAAATAAAAAAGAAATAAGGAAATGTTATAGTGCCCGAGCCATAACCCTGCATGAAGCAATGTGGCCATCTGATCTTTAAAGTGCATCTCCTGTGCTCCTGACAGCAAAGTATAGCAGAAAGAGAAGGAGTATGTATGCCTATATAAAGAGTTTGAACAATGGGGCATGGGAGGGGAGAGTGAAAAATGACCATTTAAATAGGTGATGATGGTATTAGAGTAGGCATCTTGACAATACTATCGCTTTCCATCAAACCCAGTCCAGTAGCCATTTCCTGAAAGTCTTATAAAATTCATCTGTACAAGAACATTGGGAAAGGTCTTTTCCAGTAAAGTGGATTAAGTATAACACGTTAAATTTTCCCTTTTTTCCTCTAAGGAGACCTCATTTTGATATATAACAAGACAGATGCCAAATGCCAATAGGAGTCAACATGGTACTTTATAAATCTAAGAAGGCTATTTAATTTCTGTATGCAACATGTCATTTTCTCAGAATCTTTCCTGTTTTCCACTGGTACCAATCACTTTGAAAGAAATGATAATTTCACTTTTGGAATTCTAGTCAAAGGAAGCTCCTATTATTAAAAACTTTTATAACTAAAGCATAGCAAAAAGCATAGCAAAACAAACACCATCCTGCTAGAGAAATGCTTAACTATGAAATATCCTTTTGATGAAATATTATGAACTATAGTTATTATTTAGAAATGCTCACACTTCTACTTGTTGGAAGGTTTTAAAAGTTTCAGCTTCAATAAGTAAGAATCTAAACCATAACAGCACATAAAAACTGATTATAGAACTATAGAGCTAAAGGGACCTAGAGGGCACCCCCATCCACCTTTCTGATATTGGCAATTAGCCATCTAAACAGACAATAATCAGCCCTGTTTGTGAGGCTTCCATGGTTTATGGAGAGCCAGGATATGACTGTCTGAAATTTATAGATGAATGGATTCTAAACAAATGATTACTTATAAAAGCAAAGCTTTTATAAGAATGAATAGATGTGGGATGAAAGATTGGGAGCCACTATTTTGTTCCATAGTTTAAATGAGTCATGGATAACAACTAAGAAAATCAGATTGTTTTTCTTAAAAT